ACTGAATGGTTTAAAATTAAGAAAAGTGTGTGACAATGTTGTATTCTTTCACCATACTTATTCAACCTATATGCTGAGCAAATGATCTGAGAAGGTGGATCATATGAAGAAAAACATGGCATCAGGATTGGAGGAAGACTCATTAACAACCTGTGATATGCAGATGATACAATCTTGCTTGCTGAAAGTGAAGAGGACTTAAAACATTTACTGAAGAAGATCAAAGAGCACAGCCTTTGGTATGGATTACATATCAATGTCAAGAAAACAAAAATCTTCACCACTGGACCAATAAACAACATTCTTATCAACAGAGAAAAGACTGAAGTTGTCAAGGGCTTCATTCTTCTTGGATCAACTATCAACACTCATGGAAGCAGCAGTCAAGAAATCAAATGACGTACTGCATTAGGCAAATCTGCTGCACAAGACCTTTTTAAAGTGTTGAAGAGTAAAGATGTCAGCTTGACGACTTAGGTACGCCTGACCCAATAACATCATATGCATGTGAAGCTGGACAGTGAATAAGGAAGACCATAGAAGAATTGATGCTTTTGAGTTATGGTGTTGGAGGAGTATACTGAAAGTGCCATGGGCTGCCAAAAGAACCAACAGATCTTATGTTGGAAAAAGTGCAGTCAGAGTGCTCCTTGGAGGCCAAGATGGCCAAACTTTGTCTCTCATACTTTGGACTTATTGTCAGGATGGACTAGTCGCTGGAGAAGCATATCATGTTTGGTAAGGTGGAGGGTCAGAGAAAAAGAGGAGGACCCCCAACTAGATGGATTGGTCAAGTGGCAGCATCGATGGACTCAAGTGTGGCAACGGTAGTGAGGTTGGCCCAGGATCAGGCAGTGTTTCATTCTGCTGTGCATAATGTCCCCATGGGTCGGTAGCAACTCGATGGCACCTAACAACAACAACAACAACAACAAACAGGATTCCTAGTGTGGCATTGTAGGATCAGCACTGGATTATGAACCTAAGGTTGGCAGTTCAAACCCACCAGCTGCTCTTTGGAAGCCTAATACAGGGTTGCTATGAGTTGGAACCAACTTGACGGCACTTAACAACAACAAACAGGAGTTAGATAAGCAATAGCCTTGGAGAAAAAGTCTTACTACTTTTACCACAGGTAAAAATACTGACCATAAAAAGAGTTCAATCAAATAAAAAAGAAAAAAATAAATAAAAATATGGGTCAAGGATATGAGCAGGAAAGTCACAGAATTAGAAATGAAAATGTCCAATAAAGACAGAGAAAGATATTCACCTTCACAAGTAATTTGGGTGAAATTAGCAGTCATTGAAAGATTACTTCTCACAATCATACTAACGAAGTATTATGATTACAAAGTTCATTGTGAGTAAAGTTATAGAGCATTCTTGGTGGATGTAAACTATTAGACACTTTTTCATAGGACAACTTGATAATACTAATATTTACAAGGATTTACCCTTTATTCAGTAGTTCCCATACTTAGTATCTATTCAAGAGAGGTATACTCAGCTATATAGCCAAAGAATCTACAAGAGGAAAAGTGCATATATCTCAATGTCCTTTGATGAGTTAGTGGATAAATAAATTATGGAGCATCATTTTTATGGAATGCTATGTACTTATTAGGACTCTGGGTGTGGCGCTGTGGGTTAATGCGCTGTACTGCAAAATCCACTTGGATCAGGAGACCTGTGGTTAAAGTTCACCAGCTGCTCCTTGGAAATCCTATACAGAGTCGCTATGGGTCGGAAACTGACTTGACAGCACTTAATAACAACAGCAACAATGTACTTATTGGAGTCCTGGTGTGGCGCTGTAGGCTAAGCACAACTGCTAGCTAAAAGGTCATCAGTTCAAACCCACTAACTGCTCCACTAGTCAGAATCGACTCAATGACACTGAACAATAATGTATTTATTAACAATAATGAGTATATGTGAAAAGAGGTCCAGAGTTGCTAAAAGAGAAAAGCTAGCGTCAACAATTCTTCAGTATGATCTCATTATGATATGTGTGCTCATACTAACATACACATGTGTATGAGGGGACTTCAAAAAGCTCATGGAGATAAACTATCACATAATTCACAATAAAACATTTAAGGAAAAAAAAAAGCTTATGGAGAAACAAAATAAAAAACAATGGAATTTTTCTAGGACCTTTTTGAAGCTCTATGTATGGATATGTGAAGGTAAGTCAAAAAGTAATGCTCTTGGGTTCAAGTCTATATATGATCAGGTCTATATCAAGCAAAGTCTGTTTAAACATGTCTCTGTGATCAGTGGATGGCTGTAGACAAGCTCTCCCAGTAACACACTTAGGCTCAATAAGCTTTCTTTAAAGAACAAAAAGACCCAATCAAAACTGTGGCTTTCACCAGGATCTGCTGTGCCAGTTAGACTCAAGGCAGAGATCAGCTCAGAAGGTTATGGCAACAATTTGGGGGGGATCGCAAAGGGATAAACTTGACAGGTTTGCTCAAAGGACACAGCATGATGATAGGGGTGTATTATAAAAAGTCTTTTTACAAATTGATAAGTGTATTAGTGAGAAAAAGCTCAGAAAATTGCACTGGGAAATTTTTTCCATCACTACAATGCATTTGTTCATTCTTTGAGGGTAGAAAGGACTTCCTACGCGTATTCACTGGGATTGCTTAATCCATCCATCTAACAACCCTGGCCCTTCCTCTTATACTTATTTTTGTTTGTTCTCCATATCCAAAGAACATTGCTATGGATCATGATTTGAGTCCTTTAAAGATGACAAAATGTGATACAAATCAAAGAGTACAGAATTTTTCAGGTAAGGATTAGAGAGATGGAAACACCGCCTTCAGAAATGTATCTACCTAGATGGAGGATAAGTCAAGAAACAATAGCTTCATATTTTGAAATTTTTGTTTAATAAAGGTTTCTACAATTTTGTATGATTTTTTTAAACCTACCCTCATACTACGCATGTGTGTGTGTGTCTGTGTGTGTTAAAGACTGGAAGTATACTTGCAAATAATTTTTGATAGTCATTACCACAGGGGTGGGGGCAGAAACAGAGAGAAAGGCAAAGAAGGACTTTCATATTGTCTTGTCTATGTTTATGTTTTACTTGAATCTTTTAACAGGAGAAGGCTTCCATATGTTATTTATATATAAAAACAACAAGACAAGAAATCAAATGGACAATATTACCAATATTACTCTTCATAATATTAAATTTAATTGGACTTCTCATATAGATGATAGGAGATTATTCTGCTGCAAGTAACGCTGGCATATAAGAAAAAAAATAACAAAAACAAAATTAAAGAGGAGGACATGATATGATAGCAAGTTGAAAAAGTTAGGGATGATAACACATATCTTGACTATGGCTTGATGTCCAATTAAGAAAGATTTTCTCTGTCATCAAAGCAATTGTCAGGCTCTTTATTGATGCTTTGTTTAATTCAAAATAGAGGTACATCCTAAAAAGGACAGAAATTTTATTTTGCCATTTTGCATACTGTGGAGGCAGCCTGGAGTGGATAGATTCGAAACCACTCAGGATTGTATTTCTTGATGACCGTGAAAATTTGGCAATTTTCTCTTCTGAGAATAAGTTATTTTTATTTTCCATTTGAAAAAGCAGGATTGAGTCTAACTTCATAAAACGCAGTGTCCTCAAGTTGATTTCTACTCATAGTGACACTACAGGCCAGGGTAGAGCTGTTTCTTAATGGTTTCCATGACTAAATCTTCACAGGTGCAAAAAGCCACATTTTTCTTTCATGGAGCAGTTAGTGGGTTTGAACCTCCAACCTTGAGGTTAGAAAGTGAATGTTTAACCCACTGTGTCACCAGGCTTTCTTTTCTATCTTCACAAGATAGGTGAAGGAATTAAGTAAAGACATATGCACTCATGTGGTCTGAAAATCTTAATTCAAAACTATATTTCTATTATTGGTTTGACTAATGGTAAGAAAGGGGCAGTGGTGATTTAAATAGTAGTATTCTTGCCTTCCATGCAGAAAATTCAATGCGTTTATTTTCCAGCCAATGCACCTCAGGCAAGGACACCCCCTACCCCTCAGTGGAGGGTTATGTGTTATTATGATGATGAATGGAGTCCTGGTGTGGCGCTTTGTGATAAAGCACTGAGCCACAAGCCTGGCTTGAATCGCAAGGTTGCAGTTCCAACTCACTAGCCACTCTTTAGAAACCCTGTACAGGGTTGCTATGAGTTGGAACCAACTCGACAGCACTCATCAACAACAACAACAATGATGATGAATAGGTTTTAGCAGAGTTTTTTTTATTAATACAGACTAGAAGAAAGGTCCGACAACATACTTCTAAGAAATCAGCTCAGGAACACCCTCCAGGTCACAGTGGTCTGATCTCATTGCACATGAGTTGCCATGAGTTCATGAAGACTGACTAGAACAATGTTAAAAGGATCCCAAGATAATTAAAGTTAATGTTAATTTTTCCAATAAATTATCTTCTGAACTTTTATTTTTTTAGAAGTTCCTTATAGGAACATGCAGCTGAAACCCATATGAGAAAAGTGAATTATAAAGTAGAGTTTGATCAATCCAACTGTCTGCAAGACACTTCTAATATATATGGTTAACTCCCCAGATAATTAGGCCAAATGTCACTAATTTGAATAAATAATCAAAATGCTATGATAAATTGTTTTAATTACAATTACCACAAAATTTTTATGAATTGTTGAATGGAAAACCAATTTGCTTTGTAAACTTTCAAATCACAATAAAAAGTTAAAAAACAAGCAAACAAACACAGAGAAATGTGAAACCTCATGATATCTCATGAAAAAAGTTGTAGAAAATAAGGAATCCATTTTACACACCAAAAATGTCTAGAAAGGAAAATTGGAATTTAAGTAGTAGAAAGTAAATGAATGTGATTATGGGAATTTTAAAAATAGTTCAAAGAAATCAAACTGGTATAATTAATTTTTGGTATATGCATTGCTATTAAGTTTAAAGACTCACATTCTTTTGTATCTTTATAATGGCCACTTTTCTCATTAGCAGGCACTTTATCCTTATTTTTTTCTTGCTCTTTATTTTCATCTTTAAATAAAGGCATCGCATCAGGGAACTCTGAAAAAGAAATGACACACTGAAGTTTCAGGAATGGAATGCAGATTTCTTTGACTTCTTTGTCTTACTCAGTATTTTTTAGCAACTCTTTGTGAAACAGATACTTAAAATCTAAATTATACCATGATATCCAGAAAATGGCCACATACCAATTTGTCATGATTATGAGTCCTTTCTCCTAAGTAATCTTTCTGCAAAAGTTTTAGATATTTACTCACCTTCCAAATTGGGATCCTTGTCACTAATCTCTGAGGAAAAAACCCCAGATAGAAAAAAGAACAATATATAATTCATTGGGGAAGACTTAGTGAGTTATCATCTAATCATTTACTGTGTCTATTCTGTGTTTCCTTCCTGTTGCCCAGCAGGTCCTATAACTGACTAGAATATTATGACATCATGGCCAAATGAAGTTCAGAATGTTGGCTAGGAGTTCCCAAACACATAGAGTAGCTTGTAATGAAGCAAATATCATGGTTCTCACAGAAGGTACATTAAGAATCACTTCAGGGGCTTTAATAAGTGCCCGTTTCTAGCTCCCACTTTCAGAGATTCCAATTTAGTAGTTCTGGGGTGAAGCTCAGTAACCAGCACCTTTGGCGATTTTAAGACAGGGAGTCAACCCCTGGGCCTAGCCACATTTTGAGAAAAACTAATACAAAAATAATGATTAATAGTTGAAACTGGACAGTTTATAAATAAGTATCTCTGAAAGTCGATAATCATGTCGAACCTTTCTATATATGAAGGAGCCCTGGTGGCACCGTGGTTAAGTGCTTGGCTGCCAAACAAAGGGTGGTGGTTCAAGCCCACCAGTTACTCTGTGGGAGACAAATGTGGCAGTCTGCTTCCATAAAGATTATGCTCTGGAAATGGTATGAGGCAGTTCTATTCTGTCTTACAGGGTCACTATGAGTTGGTATCGACTCAATGGCAGTGGATTCTTCTGTTTTTTGGGGTTTTTTTATACATGAGGAAGTCCCTGGATGGTGCAAACAGTTAACAAGCTCAGCTGGTAACTGGAAGATTGGAGATTCCAGTCCTTCTAGAGGCACGGATTTCTTTTCTGGTCTACTGAAAACTCAGCCACTGAAAATTTTGTGGAGAACGCAGTTCTATACTGAAACAGAGGGTTTGCCATGAGTTAGTCAAGTCGGTGGCAACTGGATTGATGGTTTTATACATACGAGTTGATGTGAAGTAACATCAAGTCAGTTCCTACTGACAGTGACCCCGTACAGCGTTTCCAAGGAGTGGTTGGTGGGTTTAAATGGTTGACCTTGTAGTTAGTTGTCCAGTGTTTAGCTTACAGTGCCACACCAGGTTTCTGACATGAGAATAAGATATAGTTCATAATTCATTCTTTTATCAAGATCCAATCAATAGGGAAGGAGTTCTGTGACTCTGGTGGATACACATTGGACTGGGAACCCACAAGGTTCAAAGTTGGAGTCCACTAGTTGTTCTGTTGGAGAAAAATAAAGCTTTTTGTTCCTGCAAAGATTTACAGGAAAGTTACACAAATTCAACTCAATGGCACTTAACAACAACAATCAAGACTGGAAGGAGCCCTGGGAGTATAATGGGTTACATGTGGCACTACTAACTGCAAGGCCAACAGTTCAACTCCACCAGTCACTCCATAGGAGAAAGATGAGGCTTTCTGCTCCTGTGAAGGTTTACAGCCTCAGAAACCCTGTACAGGGGAGTTAGGGTTCAGGGACACACTGCAGCAACAGTAATCAAGACTGATTGTCCAAAACATGTTCTGCTAAAGCTCAACATCCTGAAGTGATCTTCCAAAAAGCTTTGCTAATCAACTGGGTTTGCAAAACACGTAATATTATACTACTTTGTTATGTCATTCTAAAAGCTACAATACTGTAATAAGATACTCTAAATGCTTTACCTAGTATTTTCCAAATTTACTTAAAAGTGCTCATTGAAAAGTGATATGATAGAATTTGTAGGTAGGTTATCATGTTGACTAAAGGCTGATTAAGAATCTTCAGCTAGAATAGGGATGCAAATGTTGACTGAATCAGATTGAACTCCCTTGTATGTCTTGCATGTTTGGGGAGACAATGTTTACTTCCTTTCCTCAGTTGAAACTATAGTCTGGTCAGGAAGGACTCCCACAGTCTGCTGTGTGGGAGCAATTGAATGGCACAGACCCTGTGACTGAGATCAGAGGGCTGAGTGTATCACTGTACCGCCTGCTCCCATCAGTCTAGCAGAAGCTGACTGTCCAGAATCAGTCTTCTGGTTTTTTTTCTGTAAGCAGTGGGCTGGCAAACACCATCTGCGACAGTGGTGATAAATCCACATTTCCTCTCCCTTGTCAATTTGACAATCTTAACTTTTAGTGGCCATTTCCATAGGACTCACCCTTCTGTTTGTGAACCAGTATTATTTCCATGCCATTGCTTCCCGTGGTGAAAGAAGATTTTTCACCAGTTTAGCAACTTAACAACCTGAAAGGAGAAATAACTTCTTAATAAATAAGTGGGGGCAGGAAATATAGCATAGAGATAAAGAGCAAGGGCTCTAGAGACAGACTGCCTGGTTCAAATCCCAGCTCCACCACTAACCAGGTGTGTGGATTTGAGTTACTCCCTTAAAGTGGGAATAATAACTTGTAGTACCAATAGTACGTGTCTCATAGAGTGGTGGTGAGGAGTCATTGGGTCAATCCAAGTAAAACATTTGGCATGATGCCCAGCACTAGAAGAAAACATGGATTGTGCTTGTGTGACCTCCCCACAGCTCCCCACTGTGATGAATAATCAGTCTACACAACTGCTACCCATAGTGTTCGATGGAGGAATGTTCAGAGTCAAGGCTACTTCCCTCAATGGCCACTTATGAGGACAGGACAGGAGAATGTAGGCTAAACTCAGAGCTTAGCACAGAGTTGTTGCTGTTAAGTGCCATCATTTTGGTTTCCAAGGAGTGGCTGGTGGGTTTGAGTCATCAACCTGCGGTTAGCAGTCCCCTGTTTATCCTGCAATGCCATACCAGGACCCCATGGCACACAGTAGGCCCTCAGTAAATGTAAATTCCTAGTCCTTATTTTCCCTTAGCTGCTTCCCAATTTCCTTTAAAGCGCTCAGCATGGTGCACCAACCTGCACGGATCCTAGTACTTTCTAGTACAGTGATTCAGGAATCTGTGAGCAGCAGAGAATGTTCACTTTGAAAGCACATCTTTCCCTCTGTAGTGGATGAGGAGCCTGAGTACACTCCTTTCACATTTCTCTATCCGAGTTATATAGAAAGAAGTCTTCTGCAGTCACTTAGGAGTGGTAATGCAAACTCCAATTAGATACTAAGAGCCCAAGGGCAGCGCAGTCATTCTTCTGAATGCACACTGAAAAAAACCGGCAATAACCGACTCTTGGGATTTTCTGAACTTGCTACTTTTTTATTTCTTTTATATCAAACCCATAAGCCCATTGGATTTTTCTGAATTCAGTGTTCAGATAATGCTCTGCCAGGACTTAATACAGAGCTACACACATTAGTTTATCTGCACAGCCTCAGGATGCCCATGTTAAAATTAAACATGCACTAAAAATTATTCCTGTTAGTGTGAAATGAGGCTTGTCTTTGGGATACATTTTCTGTAACTTCTACAGTTCAGAAGTTGCTGAACCTAGTGATTTAAAACAAAACAAAAATCCACTCTCCACATGCTTCTTTCTGTTTGAATGCTGCCTCTGTGAACATTTGGTGGACTCTATCTGTGGAGCACTTGAAATTAGAAGGCAAAGCATATATCACAACGTATTTATTTCATCCAGCCTTAAAATATAAGCCTGTATTATATTCTGGTTAGGCCTTTATTTGGACTCCTGGTGTGGCACTGTAAGATCAGCACTGAACTGAGAACCACAAGGTCAGCAGTTCAAACCCACCAGCTACTCCTTGGAGACCCTGTATCTGGTCGCTATGGGTCAGAGCCAACTCCACGGCACGCAACACCAACAACATTACATCCTAACGTATTAAACATCCCTGGATGGAACCAAGAGACCAAGAACCTCTATGGTCTGCGCAACAACTAGCACCGTCAAATGAAACAGCACCAGGTAGATGAATAGAATGGGTACTGCTTTGAAAATATAATGTCGCCTATTTGTTTCTAAATTTAGCTAATGGAAGACATGCGTTAATGCATTAATAAATCTTACAGCCAATCTCTCAGTTGCATATTTCTAATTAAGTGCTTGTTCATGTACCCACATGTTTTATATTATGGCTGAAGATTAATGACACTTCATTTCTTTAGTAGAGAAGGGAAATTAACAGAAATTAACTGTGGTTGTTCTATGAACTTATTGTCAAAACTGAGATCTGCTATGTAGCTTTCTGTTTATTCTTAAAATTTTGCTTATATTCCTTTTTTTTAAAAAGTTTTTATTGTGAATTGAGTGATACTTTACATGGGAGAATATCAGTTTTACACGTTTTATTGCAATGATTACAATCCCTTCCATGCATCACCATCCAACAGTATTTGAGTATTCCCTCTGTTTTGGGGGGTTCTTTTTTGGATGTACACAAAAACACTCAGGAATAGATAACCAAAGGGCAAGCCTGCCTTTGTTCCCACCCTGGGTGATTCCTCCTGGATTTCCAGAGTGGTTTCCTGTCTTCTGCCTACTCAAAACCCATGCCTGATCTCTAGCATTGCCCTTGCACTATTCATCTCTCCCTGGACTGGTCATTCGGACCTTCTGGATGTTCACCTGTTAGAACCACTGTCCAACATAACCTGTGGCTCAGGATTCACTCTACGTATGTTATCTTGGATGTGCATCTTCTGGATGGAAATATTTTCTGATCTCAGAAAGACTGATCATAGGAACACTAGTGCAACCACATTAACAAACCACCAGGAAAGAAACTGAAGACCACATGGAGATTTTGTTTGTAGAGCAGGAGAATTTCTGGAAGATAGTCCAGTGCCAGGGTAGAGGGCAAAGGCATCAACTTCCATAGTTAAGAGTTCAGATTCCAGAGCTCACCTGTGTAACATTAACTCCTTGTTTTAACACTTTCTTGTTTGTGACCTTCGGCAAATTACTTAACTAGCCTTGGCTATAAAATGGGATAAAAATAGTTAACCTCATCAGGTTGTCTTGAGCATTACATGAGATTGTTCAGGTAAAGCATTTGGAGTGTACTGTCTGTTGGAAGCCTGGTGTGGTGCTAGAGGATAAGAACTGGACTGCTCACCTTAAAGC